CAAAAAAAATATATATATATATATGATTGTATGTCATCACATATCAAAACATACTTAGTAAACACCCAGTACAGTAACGTTTAATAGTGGGAGATTGAGAAAAAAAAGCAGGCAAGAGACGTAGGCAACAACTTTGTGGAGGAGAGAGATGAAGTTAATGCTTACTGGCTGTTATATAAAGCTTCTTGTATGCCCACAGCCGTTTATCAATGGCGAATCGCAAGAGGTTTAAACCACTGCCCGAGACGAAATCATTTGGAGGCGGTTTTGAAGAGCTTTGTCGTTTTGAATTATTTTGACGTAACTGCAGCGACGACCATAATTACAAATACACTTTGAAAAGAATAATTTGTGTTGTACACGAAATCTTCTAAAATTTTACTCACTGTGATTCTGTCAATGTACTATCTCGTTTTAGCAGTTTTCGAATCAGTTCGAATTACAGATGCTGAAAAGGCAAAAAAGCTCAGCTTTATTGCCTTACAGTTCGTGGATAGATAAATTAAAGTGGGAACAATTTCTTCAACTACGTAAGATGTACCTGAAGTTCACTGCTCTTCTGGGAGTTTCATCCAGGTTCGGGCGCATAAAGTTCGCAGCACACAGGCGGGAGTATGGTGGTACGTCTCTACTTCTAAATCTAATTTTCTAATCTAATTATCTAACTTTCTAACTTCCTTTTTTTCTATCTAATCTAGCGATATGAAAAAAGAATGATTGTGTTAAAAGCAGATTTGCAACATTTATACCTTGCTCCTACCAGTTTGTTGCTACTGATTTCTCCTCATATAACCGTACGCCTGGCTTCTCGAACAGCCGTGAACTATTATTTTGTCTTTGTTGGGATTCGAGCAACACGCCCAAGCCCAGGGTGTTCCTGATCCTTGTTGAGGTGGCAGTCAAATTGGGTATATGGTTCGGAACATATGCTATGTTTTCGCAGCTGCTGCCCCTCATAGACTACCAAAAGATTCAAAAACATCATTCCACTAGCAAATATCAGAAATCTATCAAAAAGGAGTCCGTTCAGTAAAAGGTCTGTACCTCACGACAAGACTTTTTAAAAGCCTTTCTGTGGTGAGAGAGCAAAAAACTTATCTTTGGAAGTTCAAGAGATTCTAGCCAGTATCTTTTGAAATTCACACGTGTACTGTTACAAAAATATCGAAGGTTGAAGGAAGCAGTAAGAATAAAAAAATAAGCGTTCATCACTTTGGCCTTCTCTGTGGTGTGCATTTTTTGGATTTTTCCGAAATTTCTACGGCTACCGAAGGGATTTGACAGGTGTTAGAGCAAATTCACATTCCTGTTAAATAGGCCGTTTTTTTCGGATGTGCTTATAATTACGACCGCTATATGTTTGCTTAACAGGTATAAATAGAGTGTGGAATATTTTAAGATCGAAAGTACTAGGTTTGCAAAAATAAAACCAAATCGCTTATTTAAATCTCTTCAAAACCCTAACATTCGGATTCACCTTATGTACGCAGTTATGACTTTAAACGTAAGTACAATATTTTAAAGTATCCTCAATATTGTTGCAAACACGGTCATTTGACCTAAACTGACGAGAAATGTCTCAACGTAGCTTGGGGCGATTGTCGCAATTCTTCCACAAAATTATGGTGCTCTGACGAATATATAATTAGTTCTTTGTAAGAGTAAAGCATACATTGTCGAACAATTTGAGATAAGCTCCTTTACTGTTTTCTACATTTAACGGAAAAGTCTTCTGTTTATGAGCACAGTAAGTGTGTCAAAGCTCAATAGCCCATTACGTCCCATTTTATAAAGAATTGGAAAAGCGAAAATTGCGAAAAATTGGTCAACAGTATCTATCAATTTGCACTTCCTCCTACAACCCATAAAAGCTGTATTTTCCTGAATTCTATTCTCAGTTAAGATTGGATCAATTAAGCTACAGGAAGAACATTCCAAAGGCTGGCTTAGAGTTTGCCCTATAAGAGCATATAATGAAGGGGTTGAAGTATAGATGCTCCACTGTTCGGGATACATCCAAGATGTGAGACGAGTTAGGTTGAGAGAGTACTGATTCCCTTTTTGTGCTTCAAGCTGAATTGTAGACTGGGCATAAACATCTCAATATCAGTTCACTTTTTTCACGAGTAGCTGATCTACCCTTCATATAAGTTAAGCAAGTATCTTGGTTATTAAGATGCTTTCGTGGATAAGAATGTAGACTTTTTGAAAGCAGAACTCTCAATGGTGTCGATTGTTCCCGTCAATTCGTTGGCGTTAAAATGAGCGCGGAGATCCGCCTTCCCATGTTCTAAGACCACGCCCATATCCTTTCCGAGACTAGTTACTCCTTAGCGGACAAAGTTGCTTCATTTGATTTCCGAATCCTTTCTTTTACGCCTCTTTTTGCCTACGCTTGTCATAGAGCACACATGAGGTAGGGTTACAAAGCGGTTTGACATCTTCGAAACTCTTCATTCAGTGCCCTTGAGCCTTTGCAGTCAACGATTGGGCAAGTTGATTCTTTAAATAAGGTTAGAACCAAAATTATCGGAGATGTCCATATTCAACTCTTGTGTCTGTTAGCTGCATGCTGGTTACCACTTCAGATGTAATATTGTTGTATTCCCTTAGGAGATTTGCATGCGAACATCCCATTCACAAACTTATCTGTCGTTCAATGCACATAGTATCTACAATCGCAACCCTGGCAGATACTGGCTGTTCTCTCTCATACCCATCTCGTCTGCCCTCGCTTTCTTCTGCAATATGAATTCATGCACAAGTTTTCCGATTTAAGATGTTTCTCGAACGTTTGCGTGACGGCACAGTCCGCATAGTGTCAGGAATAAAGGAGTCGAAGTTACGGCAGTGGATTCCCATTCTCTTGCTTTTGACTTTGGCTGCCTACCTCCTCATGGGTTCCGCGTGCTTTTGGTTCTTCGAGCACGACAAACATGAGCAGACTGTCAGAAAATGGTATATGAATATGGCGGTGAATAGGTACGTTTATGACCATTTCGAATTATTTACATTTTTATAATTTCGTTAAGAAATGCCGTCTCCCATTTTAAGAAGGGTCAGAGAAGTATCCGTAAAATTAATTGTCGGACAAACTCGCGCGTTTCTGTTCATCTTTCCAATTCCTTGTAGAAAAGAGAATAACGGCTAAAGCAGTTATGTGGCATTTATACCATGAATTCGTAAAATATAGTATATATTAGTCAAATGTTTCTGAATCAATAGTGAAATAAAACAATTACTAGCCCCGAGTCTTGGAAAGGGGCTTTTTTCAGTCATGGTTCTGTTGTCTCATTATCTCTAGACCTCAAATAAATGTAAAAGTAAAAGCTTTCAGGAGTTCTCATTTTTTTGCTCTTTTTTTT